AGGCCTGACATTAAAAAGGACACTTGTAACAATTTGGGGCCAGAGAATGTGTTATCTCATATTCAAAGAGCATTTCTGAGTGAAGTTGGGAAGGCAGAGGAACTTGCCAAACATATAGAGCCTGGTAAATATTTGAACTTAGTGAAAGAAAAAAGTGCATGGTATGATCAAGTACTGAAACTTGTGCTGCGTGCCTTCCTGTTCTATTTGACCTTTTTGTGCTTTATATGTGACCCTTTTCGCGGTTACTGTGCTTTTGGTTTGCCCTTTGTTTTGTTTCCTCCCCTTTTTCTAGTAGGATGATAACTAGCTTTTAATATGCCCGGCTTAGCTTTAATCCATTGTTAATCAAGAAAAAAAATGCTAGCAATCTTGATGGTTTCTCAAGAGGATCTAGAGATATGGAATTACCAACTCTTCCGTAGATGATAAGTAGCTGCATTCATCAAATGTTTTCTTTAGCTATTGTCTTACATCTGGCCTCCTAGTTGTGGTAATGTTTCAAGTTTTTTGCTTGAAAATGACTCATAGACCTACTTTTTTATGGCCTTAGCAAATAAAGATGAAGACATTTATGTCTGTTTGTTGCTTGTTTCTAGGAAATGCCGAGGTACCAGATGCAATGGAGATGATATTTCAATCTGCACTAGACCTCGGCAGAAAGGGAGCGGTAAGTATTTCATTTTATCTTGGTAGTGTTTGGTAAAAGTGGAACTAATTTCTACTAGCAACAAATATAATAGTCGCCATGTAACATTAGGAAGGGGAAAAAACTTGAAATCTCTAAGATTCAATTTAAAGGATTTACTGTATATTGAAATATGTGGCAGGTTGACGAGTACATGGGTCGGACTGAAGATGCAGTGGTGTTTTATTCAAAAGCAGTACGCTTGTTAGCATTCCTTCAAGTAGAAGCACCATCACTCATTCTAAATCCTCCATTCTCACTGACAAACTCCGATCGCTATAGGCTTAGGAGTTACATTGATGTTCTCAATAACAGGCAAAGTGTTTCAAGGTCTCAAATCATGACTGTGCTCAAGTGTGAGGATCAGCACTGATCCCCGTGAAGGCGATAGACTGAGTGAAGAGAAAACTGTTAATATATAATGATAATTTAACATATCACAACTTATTCTGTATAGTTCTTTATCTGTACAGTTATTCTTTCACTAATTTTAAAGAAAGTGAAAAGTCCTTTTATATGGTTTGAAAGCTATTATTACTGTAATTAAAGTTCCTTTCTGAAAATTTCAGAAATGACTCAACTTTAGGACATAATTAAGCTTCAGTAGCTATAGTTTAGATATTTACCATTCATAGCAATCGTTTGAGATATTAGGCCAAAGAAATAATCTCTCTCGCCTTTCTTGCTCTCATCTTTTTTTTTTTGTATTTTGTATTTTTATCTTTCTCTGTATTTCTATTATTTTTTAGGTGTCGGGTAGTCGTATTTGTTGTGTTAATACGTGCATTTGAGTTGTATCGACGAATACAACTTGCATGTATATAATATAAAGATACAAATAACAAAAAATATAAGGGATTGTATTTATTCGCTCTTGTATCACTTGTATTCGTGATCATATTTAGACAGTATCAACGAATACAAAAATACAAAAGACTGTATTCATTCACTCTAATGTCACTTGTATTTTTTTCACTCTTTATTCATTTACTCTAATTAAATTCTTATTTGACCCACTCAGTTCAATCCACCTCATTCAAGCCCCACGGACAAACAGACTTCTCCACGTTAAACTAAAAAGTCATGTTCTTAAATCATAGTCCAATCTTACCTATATCGTGTGTATATATTTATTTTATATTGGAATAATTACAAAGACTTCGTCTCATGTTTCGCTCCATTACACTTACATTCCTTGTGATTTAGGATATTACTCTTACCCAACTTGTGGGAGGTAATAAGAAGTTTATTTCTTTGAAAAAAGATTATTACACCAACATTTGGTTTAATTTTGAATTTTTACTGTTTCACATTTCTATTTCATATATTTTTCTCATTTCCTCCTTTATTTTAAGTTTAATTTAATATCTTCCTCTCGATCTTCCCTACAATCGTCAAAGTACTAATTTATTCCATGTATAATTTTTGCAGGTCCCTTTGACATTGAACGTATCGCCTGCAGAATCAGGATAATAGTTCAGTTCAATACGAAGCAGCTTTCTTCACTTGGAGAATCCGACACATACGATATCAAAAGTAAGTAGTCCACACAACTTATTTCAGTACCATCTTAATTGCAATAGTATTTTTGTGCAAATGAGCAATTCTAATAATTTTTTAAAGGGAAAAAGCTCAAATATGACATTAAACTTTGAAAAAAAACTCATCTTTGTCATCCGTTAAAAGTTTGGTTCATCTATAACATTTCAGTTAACAAATAATGGTATGGATGAATTTTTTTCTCAAACAGAAATTGCATAGATGAACCAAACTTTTAATGGAGGACATAGATGAGTCTTTTCTCAAAGTTCGATGGCATATTTGAGTCTTTTCCCTTTGTGAAAATATTTATAGGTACTTGTATTTTGATAGCTGAGTATGAAATTTCAAAGAGTGCTTTGAATCAGGTATTTTCTCTCTTTTCCATAGATGATAGAACTCATACATGTCTTAAAGAGGAAATGAAGGAATTATATTTCCTTTTAGCTTATCAGAATACATTGATATTACTATTTTAGTGAACTTCTTAAATAAAGTTTGAAGAATATTTACATGAACTAAGCCATTGCTTCATGATTATCCCTATCATCACAATCAGCCACAGACATAGCTGCCTTGCAGTGAACATTCTTGTACGAATAATTCCTCGCAACAATGACATTGACACACAAATTCACTGCTGTCATGATAGCTAACAACCAGTAGAAATAGTCGAGCCGGCTGCTGTTTAGATCCTTTCCTAACCAACTCTTACCATTTTATCTGTGATATGATCCACAAATGGTTATCAATAGGCTGCTAATGAAATTTGCAGCACCATTTACACTAAGGTATAACGCAATGCCCAAGCTTCTCATAGAATCAGGTACTTGGTCGTAGACGTATTCTTGCAATCCCACTAAGGCAAATCCATCTGCTACTCCTAGGATAAGGACCTTCGAGTGGATTTTTGTGAACAAGATTCAGTCTCTTTCTCTCAATCAAAGCTGCAACGATCATGATAGAAACGGAGAAGATCATTCCAACACCGATCCTTTGGAGGATACTAATCCCTCTCTCATTTCCTGTTGTCCTTCTCAGGAAAGGTACAAGGATTTTTTCATAGAAAGCAACAGATATATTATCATGCCAACAACTGTCAGGGCATAAATTGAGGCTGGGGGGAATCTTGAAATTGTGAATGATCTTCCGGTTCATTGTCACGCCTTGTTTTATGAAAAAAAGTTGCAGCTTGTGATACACATATACCAAATGGTATAGTGATTTTCATCATCAAACTGATCAGCTCCAAAGCTCTCAAGAGAAGGCTTGTGTCCTCCGGTTCCAACAGAGATTAAGTAGATTGCTAGGAAGAAGATTGGCTCATGGACGTTCCTCCGTTTATCACAGAGGTCACTCTCACAAGGTTTTAAGCTCCGGACCACTCTAGACATTGTCAAGAGAAGCATGCCCTGATCCACCTTTAAGCCAGAACAAGTAAGAGAAAATTCATCTATTCGTTACAATGCTTAAAGTTCAATGATTCTAGAACCAAATTTGTGATCCGATTTTCTCTTGTTCAAATTGGACTTCCGAAAAGTTTTCATTAGTTATCTAGAAGTAGAACATTTTAACCAACCATTGAAAGCTAAATTACGAATTTTAGCCAATTTCAGATTTTAACAGTTCATTAGTGTTACTACTCTAGTAGGATCAACAGTTTTTGGCACATGTTTTTCTTTATCTTAAGGAAGTACTCTAAACTGCCATTTCATGTTGAAAATTGCAAGGAGCGGAAATTTTGTTTACCAGGAAGTAGACCGTGGAAGAGGGAAGAATGATGGAGAATCGTCCCAAGTATGCATCAACGAGAAAGCCTCCCAGCAATGGCATCAAGGTAGTGACTCCTGTCCAGTAATTGACACTTTTTGCTGCTGTTTTGAGGTCTTGATGGGTGACTTTTGTTAGGTGTATAATCAAACTTGTGGCTATTCCAAAGAAGCTCAGCCTCTCACTGAATTCAATCACTGTTAAGGTAACGGTTCATCAGTATCTCCATTTACATAACTATAAAGGAGCATGTTCAACAAAATGTAAAATTTAAATTTCTTGATCTACGAGTTAGTGTAAATCATGAGGGCAACATAAACTAGAAATATAAGTGAAGCTATTTGGTACGTATTCTAGTTGTTGGATAGATGCTTACCGATATAATAAAGAGGCAGGCCTTCCATACACCAGTTGAACTCCTAAGGGAAACTCGTCCTTTATGATCAACCGAAGAATCTCATCAATTTCTACTGATTCTGCTCTCGTTATCCGCTCCATTTCCACATTTATCTTATCCTTCCTTTTTGGTTCTTAAGTACCAAAGAAGATATATTAGTTCTCAAGTGGTTGATATGAGAAGTTGGTGGATTAGTTTGTTCACTTTATATAGGAAGAAATTCCTCTTCATTGGCATTGTCAAAGTTCCTAAGAATATGAGTAATGAGCACCAAGAAATATGAAAATAAATGGAATTTATGCCAATGATTGTTACTTGAGGTTGACAAACAACTCCTTCCACTAAACTAAAGCAGTCCTTGGCCCTTAACTCAGCGAATGGCATTTGATGCTGAAATCAGTTTCTTCTATTTGGATTGATCTCCTGCCACAAAAGTGGCAATGATAGATATTATAGCGGCCTAATTTGAGTATACTTACAAGAGGAAAGCAATTGAAGTGACTGAGATTGAACAAGTAATTTTATTTCCATTTAGCTTATCAGAATACATTTTTATAACTATTACAGTGAACTTCTTAAATAAAGCTTGATGAATATTTACATAAACTAAACCATTGCTTCGCGATTATCCCTATCATCACAATCAGCCACAGACATAGTTGCCTTACAGTGAACATTCTTGTATGAATAATTCCTCGCAACAATGACATAAACACACAAATTTACAGCTGTAATGATAGCTAACAACCAGTAGAAGTAGTCGAGCCGGCTGCTGTTTGGATCCTTTCCAAACCAACTCTTGCCTCTTTTCTTTGTGATATGATCCACAATGGTTATCAAGAGGCTGCTAATGAAATTTGCAGCTCCAATTACACTAAGGTAAAGTGCAATGCCCAAACTTCTCATGGAATCGGGTACTTGATCATAGAAGTATTCTTGCAATCCCACTAAGGCAAATCCATCTGCTATTCCAAGGATAAGGAATTGTGGGGCTAGCCAAAACACACTCATTGAACTCGAACCTTCGAGTGGATTTTTGTTAACAAGATTCAGTCTTTTTCTTTCGACTAAAGCTGCAACGATCATAGTAGAGATCGAGAAGATCATTCCAATACCGATCCTTTGGAGAATATTTATGCCCCTCTCATTTCCTGTTGTCCTTCTCAGGAAAGGTACAAGGATTTTGTCATAGAAAGCAACAGATATTATCATGCCAACAGCTGTCAGGGCATAAATTGAGGCTGAGGGAATCTCGAAATTGTGAATGATCTTCCGGTTCATTGTCACGCCTTGTTTTAAGAAAAAAGTTGCAGCTTGTGCTACGCATATACCAAACGGTAAAGTGGTTAGCCAAATAGGTATCATGTTGATAATTAGCTTCAGTTCTTCCACATTGGTGACAGTTGCAAGTTTCCACGGATTCCGTTGCTGTTCTGTCGAATCTTGAGTTTGATCTAGGATTGCTGCTTTATCAAGGAACCTGTAAAGTATGATTAAAAATTGTTTTCAATGATATATTTATAAACCTTTCCTGAGTAATTGCATAACCTAATCACGACTAAGTTTGAATCTTACTTTAGCCTTTTGGTGTGGCCTAAGAGCCTCCTTTGGGTAGTTTCTGACTTGGGAACTTCATGTAGATGAGAAGGATCTGAAGGAAGTTGAAGGCTTCTTTTCCTAATTGCAGCTACGAGCACGTTTAGCATGGGTGTTAATGGACTTCCAGTCGCCTTCCTAAAACGATACACTGGCTTCCCTGCATAGAAGATGGCTATACTAGAAGCCATAACTAGTGTGAGTATTACATCTGCCATGGCCCAGCTAACATGATCTTGTACATAAACGATAAGAGTAACACCAAGTAATAGTCCACAGCATAGCCCAAAGTTCCACCAATTGAAAAATGACATTTTTTTCCTTCTTTCTTCAGGATTTTCATCATCAAACTGATCAGCTCCAAAGCTCTCAAGAGAAGGCTTGTGTCCTCCGGTTCCAACAGAGATTAAGTAGATTGCTAGGAAGAAGATTAGCTCATGGACGTTCCTCCGTTTATCACAGAGGTCACTCTCACAAGGTTTTAAGCTCGGGACCACTCTAGACATTGTCAATAGAAGCAAGCCCTGATCCACATTAAAGCCAGAACAAGTAAGAGAAAATTCATCGATTCGTTACAATGTCTTAAAGTTCAATGATTCTAGAACCAAATTTGTGATCCGATTTTCTGTTGTTCAAATTGGACTTCCAAAAAGTTTCATTAGTGTTACTACTCTAGTAGGGTCAACAGCTTTTGCACATATTTTTCTTTATCTTAAGGAAGTACTCTAAACTGCCATTTCATGTTGAAAATTGCAATGAGTGGAAATTGTGTTTACCAGGAAGTAGACCGTGGAAGAGAGAAGAACGGTGGAGAATCGTCCCAAGTATGCATCAGCGAGAAAGCCTCCCAGCAATGGCATCAAGGTAGTGACTCCTGTCCAATAATTGACACTTTTTGCTGCTGTTTTGAGGTCTTGATGGATGACTTTTGTTAAGTACATAATCAAACTCGTAGCTATTCCAAAGAAACTCAGCCTCTCACTGAATTCAATCACTGTTAAGGTAACGGTTCATCAGTATCTCCATTTACATAACTATAAAGGAGCATTTTCAACGAAATGTAGAATCTAAATTTCTTGATCTTCGAGTAAGTATAAATCATGAGAGAAACATAAACTAGAACATATAAGTGAAGCTATTTGGTGTGTATGCTAGTTGTTGTATAGATGCTTACCGATAATAAAGAGGGAGGCCTTCCATACACCAGTTGAACTCCTAAGAGGAACTCGTCCTTTATGATCAACCGAAGAATCATAAACCAGTTTTTGATCATCCATTTCTACTGATTCTGCTCTCGTTATCCGCTCCCTTTCCACATTTATCTTATCCATTTTTTTGGCTCTTAAGATACCAAAGAAGATATATTAGTACTCAAGTGGTTGATATGAGGAGTTGGTGGGTTAGTTTGTTCACTTTATATAGGAAAAAATTCCTCTTCATTGCTATTGTCAAAGTTCCTAAGAATATGAGTAATGAGCATCAAGAAATGTGAAAATAAATGGAATTTATTGCCAATGATTGTGACTTGAGGTTGATAAACAACTCCTTCCACTAAACTAAAGCAGTCCTTGGCCCTTAACTCTGTGTATGGCATCAATGCTGCAATCAGATTCTTCTATATGAATCGATCTCCTCCTACACAAGTGGCGATGATAGATATTGTAGCGGCCTAAATTGACTACACTTACAAGAGGCATCAGATAAGTGTTTTCACAGTTGTACTTCATTTTATACTTCAGAATATATTAACACGCATTTTATTCGCGTTGTACCTTGTTCTTATCTTTTATTTTGTTGATGGGATTTGAAGTCTCAACATGAGTTGTAGCATAGGAGTAAGCACCACGAGGTCTCAGGTTCTAGTCCCAGTTATGTAATGTGAATTCATCTCAACCTTTTAGGAAAAATTTACCCGACATACTGTGCAGCCAGATGGATTAGTCGAGGTACATGCTAGCTAGTCCAAACACCAATGTCACAAACAAAGTACATTAACTTAGATTTTTAGTTTATGGTCAAAATGTCAGGAATTTTGTTGTAATTTCTAATAACTATGGCTAAATTCATTTGTCTTTCTTGGAAACACTATAAACTCATGAATCACATTTTTGTGTAAGTTGTTTATTTTCACCTTTCCTGGATTGATCATGTTTGTTGGTAGTGTTTGGTATCTGTCACAACACCATGTATAATAATGATGATAATAAAGGCCACATTAATATATCTTAATTACCCCTCAATCTTGATTAGTGAATTTTCTTTCATTTTACATGATAGGCTTGTTTTTTGGAGATATTGTCTTTCGAAAACAACCTCTCTACCTTGTCAAATAAAGGTAAGATATGCGTATACTCTATTCTCCAGACTTTCACTTGTGGGGGAGTATACTCGGTATATTATTTATTTGGAGAGTGTTTTCTAAGTCCTTTAAATTTTTGGGTTGATTGGAGAGATAGAGAATGTTACTTTTTGTGAATATAAAGTATTTAGTCATAAAAAATATGATTCAATTAGAGTACTATAAACATGTTCTTCATTAAGCCACCACCCCTCTCCACCATGAAGTTATGGTTGAAATTATTGTTCAAGCAGTTTGGTTTTAGATTTTTGAAGACTACGGGATTTGTGGTCGGAATATTATTGCATAAAGTTACTCTATTTGTGCCGGTTGGTTGCAGGTTTCCTCTGAAATTAGTCAAGGCGGATGTTATTGGTTCAGACATCACGATTATCAATTTTATTTCAACAAATACAAATAATTGGGGAACTTCTCTTTTTCTTAGATGAGCAAAGTGCATGAAGTTTTCAACAACTAAAATAATTACTTCTCTGTCCCATTAACACAGATGCATGTGAAAGTGTACAACTTGTACTAATTAGAAATAATAGTGGTTGTACCAAAAAGGAAACTTAGAAATAGTGCTTCACATATATAGATGCAACAAATAAATCTAACACGTTTTGAAATATAAATCAACGTGTTATATTTTTTAAAAGTAAAAGTGTGGAAAGAGCTGGGAAGAATTTTGTCCAATATAGATAGAAGTTCAACTCAACTTTATGTACTATTAAAAGAAAAAGGCATCTTTTATTTATTTCTCGTTCAATTTATGTGATGTAATTTACTAATTTTCCTGTATCACATACGAAGAGAGGATTGGTATTGAGTTCATAGGGTGATTTATCTGTAATGAAATGATTTATAGACACACAAATATCTATAACTTATTTTAGATTATAAATTTTGAAAATCTTTTTTTCTCTTTGTTAAATTCGTGTGGTACCCCTTTATAAAGTCTATAAGGCTAGGTTGAGATAATATTCCCCTTTTTTTTTGTGTGGGGGTACTCCTTACCAAGATTTTTTTTTGTTTCGAGACTTCTGATTAAGAAAAGAGTGATCCCATCCACTCCATCACGTAGATAAGGGGATCTTAAGCCAAAATACTCCTCCATAAGGTTGACCAATGTGAATGCTAGAAATGATTAAGATGGATAATATTAATATTTGCCAAGTATAGTAAATGTCAAAGCTATTGATGTTGGCAAATTGCTTTTGTGGATACAATTATAATGACTACAAGGAATTTGATTCTCATGAAAAAGTGATAAAAACCCCAAATTGCGCCTATATTATCTATCACTATCGATCACATGATAATTCACATCTAATATTTACTGTTTCTAAATTTTGTTCTTGAATTCTAGTTACAACCCACTGAATAACAACACCAAATATTCGAAAATGACATCCAATATAAGAAAAAAAAATAACCAACCTTTCTGTTACCAAAAAAATTATGAAGTTCCTTAAAAAGTCAGTTATCGTACACCTAAAGGTGTGATCTAGTGGTCACTAATAGAGTGGGCTAAGAATTATAAAGTCTCAGGTTCGTATTCCAATAAAACCAAGAACATTGAATGATTTCTTTTCATTGATTTTATCCTTAATGAATAAGGTTACGTGTTATTGGTAGGAGATATATCGTAAAATCAATATAAGTACACTCATCTCGTCATTATAACATACCAATTAGGAGGGGAGGATATATACCATATAATTGGAGATTAAATGTTTATATTACATCTCATACAATGAGGTGGATTTCGAATTTAAAGTTTATTATGAAATTTTATGACACTTTCAAGTTAATATATATAATAATAATAATTGAATTTATAATAAAATATTTATAGATATTTAGAAAACTTCTAAGCATATATATGGAGTTTATGATAATATCGATAAATCATGAGAATTAGAATGTGTTTGACTTCGATAACAAGGTAACAAAATGAACTTTAGTCTTTAGGTATAACTCAATTAATATCTAGCACATGAGGTGAATATTGTCAAGATCATATACGGAAATCAGTATTCTCAACTTCATATTCACTCAAACTAGGCTACTAGCAACCGTGGTGGAAGCAGAATTTCATATAATGAGATTCAAAAAAAAAAAAAAAAAACTAGAGCATCACGCTAAGATTTGAACTTGTGACCGAAGGTAATTTTAATTTTGAGCCTCCCATACCATTATACTACTTAGAATATTTTCTTATTACAAGCAAATTCAACGGTTTATATATTATTAAAAGAAATATTTTTATTCAATTTACCTATAACAATTTTTCTATGAAAGGAATTCAGTCATATCCTTTAGCTCTCGCTCCCCCCCCCCCCCCCACCCACCCACCCCACCCATCCCACTAAGTCAACCTTTCCCATCAAGAACTTTAGATCTCACTAGAACTGGTTAATTTGCCTCACACACCAAATTATACATGCAGAAAACAATTATGTGAATCTTGCAAGATCCGAATAAATCACATGTACAACGTGATTTAATTAAGTTGTCAAAAATCTCATAAATTGTAGGCGTTTGGGATTCTACAAAGCACGTATCGAATTTGAAGAAAAACTTCAAGAAAATACTATGAAAACTACATATTGGAAACAATATAAAACACGTTGCTACGTTGCGGCGTGGAAAAGTCAATACTAATTGTAAAATTAATAAATTAATTTGACACTTAAAAGCAATTATTGAAAAAATTAGAAAGAACATAATCTTTTTATCAAATACTGGGAAAAAAAATTGGACTAAAACGGTTCTATAATACTTTTAATGTAGTCTGAATTGTTTGTTCTGAGTCAGGTTTGTACGATTTTCCTCAAATAGTCTCAAGTTATTAAGAATATCCAACACTAATTTCTTTCAATCCTTTTAACTATCAATACACGACTGTGTTTTATACACCCAACAAAATGTCCTCGATGCATCTTCAAAACTATAGGTGAAAATCGTAAACCTTTTTCATATATTTGCTCCACCCCCCTAAGTCAACCAAACCATCAACTTTGATACAAGTTGATGGACTAAAATGGTCCAATAATACACTTAATACGATGTGATTCCATTTTGGACTAATTCCGCACAATTTTTTCAAAAGGTATAACACTATTACAAATATCAAAAACCTTATAAATAACTTCATTTTCAATTTCAAGTATCTATAAAATTTTGTTCGCACAGTCAACACTTTTTATCATAATGGATGATTATTGATTAGTACAGTGGTTAGAAAGCAAATAATTTCTACGACTAGTTATATATGAAGATTAGTGGTAATGTAATTATCAAACTCCACTTATGTTGATTAAAAATAATACTCCAGTTAATATTGATCAACCTTTATTGATACTCATAAAGTATGGCCATGATCTTGATTCTTTGAAACTAGTGGACGTGGTATATAAGCCATTTCAAAAAATGGAAAAAAATCATTACAAAGTTGTACGCATTTAGCACGATAGCTTCACTAAATTAGCAAAATCCTAAGTTTGTGTAGTGGAGTATTACTATATTAGATGACCAATAAAAATAATTGTTACATATTTAATTTTTAAAAATCATACAGTCCACGTCATTTGTTATTAAAAGGAGGGGCAATATTAGACTTAAATTTAACATGAAGAACGTTTTAAATTCAAATAGGTGAAAGAAATAGTAAATTTGACTCAACATGTGGAAGGATGTTTTTATCCTTTTCTGTTGATAAAATGATAAGTTTATGATATTATCATTTGAATATAACAAATTCAATATTTTAAAACATGCATTGAAATGATTATAGTTTATAATAAAGGTAAATTAGAAATTAAATGATAAATTATTTTTTAATTTTTCAAAATAAACAAATAAAGGTAGACATTTGAAGGCGATCAACTGAAAATAATTATATTTGTTAATTAAATATATCTAAAATATATATTATTATATTTGTATATTTTACGTTTTAATATATATATTTATTGGTTATTATTTTGTGGGTGTGTAAATGTATCAACCCATGTGTAAATAAATCATTTTTCTATATTATTTTATTCTATAAAGATGCTAAAGCACTAAGGGTAAATATATGGTTCATGTCGTTGATCACTTTTCACTGGCTATAGTGATGAATCAAATCTTTTAGATGATAAAAAAATTGCACTACTTGAGATTATACTTTACCCTCTTTTTTTGGGTGGGGGTAGGTTGGAAAAAGTGAGTGGGCGATGGTGAGATATATTCTTCATAATTAATTTGGCTATTGTATTTGAACTTACAAACTTTTAAGTTGAAAGTAAAGGGTACTTCATATCCAAGTAACTTTCTTTTGTCAAAAAATTTGAACCATTTTTCAATTTGTGCGTATCATTCTTGCGTAGGAGTCATGCTGGTCTTCTCTATATCGTTCCAATTTTGTCGGATGATAATAATTGTTTGATTAATTGAGTGGACAATTTCTTGATTAAGGTGAACAAGGAAAAAATAATAATTATACCTTGGAATATAAGGTGGAGCAAATTGTGCTCCCCAACTAAGGTATTAGGTATCAATAAAACTTATTATGAGACACCATGAAATGAAATGACCTTAGATGAAAATCTGAGATCTCCAAAAATGCAATTTTGGTTATTTTTGAAACCTTAGTGCATGGATAGAACCTTAATTATTAGAATCCTAGGATGAATGCCCCACCCTCACCCCCACCCCTACTTTTTTAGAGGATCTTACTTTGATTATCATTGATCACTCTAAAAAAATCACTATTTTTTTATGGAAAAATATTTAGTGTTTTTATATATATATATTTTGATTGAATCACAAGAAAAAATAGTGATGTTTTCACACAGAAAAAGTAGAAAATTTTAGAATTTCAATTAGAATTTATTTTTCAACATGTGTTTTTTCACTGAGTTGATTAAGTGGGAATGAAGATGGAAAAATTATGTTAACACAATTTTTTCATAAATTCGCCGTAGAAATAGCATTTGTTTCTAGTAGTGGATATTCTCTTTGACAGGTTAATAGTAAAAGGGAAAGTTGCACATTTGGCTAGTTGGCCAAAACAATTACATTTGCTAGTTAAATATACAAAATATATACATAATATATATATATATATATATATATATATATATATATATTACATATTAATAAATAAGAATATAAATATATTAACAGACCATTATTTTGGTAGACAGTTATGATAAAATCAACACTCTGTGATCAGAAACAATCAATTCCTCCATTGATGAACATTGAGTTCATATGAGAAAGCAAGAAGAAGATTCTGGAAGAACTACATAAGGAATGTGTTTCATTGAATATGAATTGAAAAGTAGTAAACATTTACAATGTGACTCTATATATATACAATCACTAACAGAATACAACTGGAAATTAACTAACTAACAACTTGACAAATAACAACATGACACTTACTACACTAACTAATTTCACTGTGCATAACTAAATTTTACTGTACACAACTAACTAATGGACTCTATACTTTATATTCTCATCACCCCCCCCCCCCCCCTCAAGTTGGAGGTAAGTGAGTTTACAAACAACTTGTGTAATAGTGAAGTATGCTTAACTCCAGTTAGAGCCTTTGTAAAAATATCTGCCAGTTGTGAGTCTGTGCAAATATGATGAAGTGTGATCAGGCCCTGCTGAAGTTTATCTCTAACAAAGTGGCAATCAATTTCGATATGTTTGGTTCGTTCGTGAAAAACTGGATTCTTGGCAATATGTACTGCAACTTAGCTGTCACAGAAAACCTGTATTGGTAAGGGGCATTGCACAGACAATTCAGTTAGTAACCTTTCAAGCCAAACCAGTTCACCTACTACTTGTCGCACAGCTCTGTATTCTGCCTCTGCAGAGGATAATGAAATAGTAGCTTGTTTCTTAGACTTCCAGCTGATAGGACTGTCACCCATAAGCACTAAATAACCGCTAACTGACTTCCTTGAATCAGGACAAGCAGCCCAGTCTAAGTCACAATATGCAGTGATGGTAAGGTCAGGCTTGTTTGAGATGAAAATTCCCATTGTAGGATCTTGTCTCAGGTATCTAAGGACATGATAAGCTGCTTTTAATGTGGTTCCCTGGGTGTTTGCATGAATTGACTGAGGTGTTGCACACTGTAGGCTATATCCATCCTAGTATTTGTAAGAAAATTGAGCTTTTCGACCAACTTCCTGTAAAGAGTGGGATCTGATAGAAGTTTCTCATCAGTGGCCCTTAATTTCTCAGTGTAATCAAGTGGTGATGCAGCAACCTTGCAGTTCAAAGAGTCAAATTCCTTTAACAGATCAGTAGTGAACTTCCTTTGTGAAATAAGAACACCATCAAGTCTGTACAATATTTCTAATCCCAGGAAGTAGTGCAGTCTACCAAGATCTTTTATTTTGAATTGATCATTCAAAAAGGATTTCAAAGAGTTGATTTCCTCCTGATCAGTTCCAGTCAGAATCACACCATCTACATAAATGGCAACAAACACCAAAGAGCTTCCCCTCCTCTTATAAAACAGTGAATAATCACTATCTGAATATGTGTATCCTTTAGAACAAAGGCTGCTGGCCAATATGTCATACCATTGCCTACTAGCTTGCTTTAAACCATACAATGACTTTCTCAACTTGCACACCATATTTTGACTGTCCACAGCAAGACCCTGTGGTAATTTCATATACACTTCCTCATTCAAATCACCATGAAGGAAGGCATTATTGACATCAAGTTGATACAAAATCCACCCCCTCTTGACAGCCAAGGCGATGAGGGTCCTTACAGTAGTCATTTTAACCACATGAGAGAAAGTTTCATTGTAATCTATTCCAGCCTGCTGAGTATACCCTTTAACCACAGCCGGGCCTTGAATCTTTCCACACTACCATCTGCCTTATGTTTGATTTTGTACACCCATTTACAACCAATTGCATGTTTTCCTTAAGGTAAGGGAACCAGTTCCCATGTATTATTTGCAAACAAGGCTTCAAATTCTTGTGTCATTGCATTTTGCCAAGCAGGATGCAAGACTGCTTCCTCATAAGAAGAAGGTTCACAATCATGTGAAATGGTTTCAATCAACTGCTGACTATCAGAACACAAAGAGGTGATGCAAACACTATCATGGTTGGACATAAAAGAGGTGAGGGAGTGATGGAACTTGAAGCATCTGGAGAGGAGTGCAGGTTATGTAGAGTGTAATTGTACTGTTGCAGATAGTGAGGGGTATGAAGTGACCTAGTTGTTCTTCTAAGGGTAGGTACATTATCACAAGAGGATATGGGTGCAGGTATAGGTTGTGAGGTGATTAATGAGTTGATTGGAGGTTGAATATCAGGAGCTATGGGTGAGACTGTGTCTTCATCATGGGATGTGTTACTGTCCAGGGATTCATCATTAAAAAAGGTATTTGTCGAAGTAGGTATGTAAGGCAAGTTGTTGGAGTGGTGAACCAGGAGTTGTAAAATAGAAGGAAAGCTAGAACCATTAGGAGTCAGTACAAAAGGAAACACAGACTCATGAAAAATAACATCTCTAGAGACATGGACTCTTTTGGTAACTAAATCTAAAACCTTGTACCTTTTTGTATTGAAGAGATATCCAACAAAAATGTGTGGTGTTGCCCTAGGCTCAAACTTATCTTTATGAGTTTTCAAAGTAGTGGGAAAGCATAGGCAGCTAAAACTTTTAAGATGAGAATATGTGGGCTGTGTATGGTACAACAATTCATAGGGGGTTTTATTCTGTAAAATCTTGGAAGGCAATCTATTAATGATGTATGTGGCTGTGAGGACACATTCTCCCCAGTATGGCATAGGCAATTTAGACTGAAATAAGAATGCTCTTGCTGTTTCAAGAAGGTACTTGTGTTTTCTTTCAACTACACCATTTTGCTAAGGTATGTAAGGACAAGACTTTTGGTGTATTATACCTTTCTCTTGGAAAAAATGAGTAGATTCAGTAGAGGTGAATTCCAGACCATTATCAGACCTGATAATTTTCAATTTGGTCTGAAATTGGTTTTCCACAAGTGATACAAAAGCTTTGATTGTTTGTAAGGCATTGCTTTTACACCTCAGCAGTTATGTCCAAGTAGATCTAGTGAAGTTGTCACGCCCCGAGCTACCCCCAAGACGCGGACACGGGACCTAGGACCACAAGTGATCCCAAGCTAACCCTGCTGGCATGATCATGAGCATACTAAAGATAATAAACTGATGCGGAAGCTAAATCATAAATAAATCTGAAAAGATGGGGAATACCCATATACTGTAACTGAATATATGAAATCTGAGAGTTTAATACAAAAAAAATATCAAACTCAAAACACTAAGCTGAATCTAGCTATGTCTGAAATAAGCCTCTAAACAGACTAGAAATGTTGGGACATGCCCCAACTAGATCTAGCAAAACTGAAACTAAAGACTAAAAATACTGAAAAGAAACTCATGACTATTGTCTGCGAAGAATGAGGACTCACCAACTGATTCTGCTGAACTGAAGATCGGGAATCGATCTAAGCGTGATCTGGATGCTGAGGACCTGAACCTACATCACGAGAAGATGTAGCGCATGTATGCGTCAGTACTTGAAAGGTACTGAGCATGCAGGATAGAGTAGAGCTGAAAGAACATATAACTGAACAAAGCATACTGAGCAATGATATAATCTGAACATGATATAGATACTGAATATACTGAATACTGAGCTAACTGAATGCAATGACCAAATTTATAACATGCTGAGACTGAATACTGACTGTACTGAAATATGGTCAATGCAATAGAGTCTGACTGAACTGTGGGAGCTACTAATAACCGACATAAAACCACATGAGCTAAATGTGGAGTCCGATGTATACGCCCCATCGAGAGGACCCAATATACCCTGCCAGAGGTATAAAGGCATGCTGGCGTGATCACTAAACTGATGTTGCCCACAGAGGGGACTTACACCTACGTGGCTCGTAGTTCTGGGACTATATGGGTACGTTGAAACCCTAGTCCAACTCGGTATTATGCTACTCCCAATGAATTAAGTGGTTAACTGGTTATGACTGAATTTCTGTAAATACTGGATAGCTCGAACTGAACATGCAAACTGAGAATGCAACAATTAATCTGATAATGATGCATTCATAAACTGAGGCATGTAAAACTGAATACTGAAATATCTGACCTAGCATGTGTAATTCAAGAACTAAAGAAATACATAGCTAGGGTTCTGAAATTCATGCGATAAACTGAGCAATAACATGATAATCTGATTTGGAACATTTAAATAACTAATTCATGATGATCTGCTATAATTCTAGAAACCCTAGGTCTGTTCATAATCATGGAATCAAGAATCTGACTGAATTATAGGGACCTAATGTGCGAAAGGAACCCACTAGTGAAATCCCACATACCTGGTGACGAATTCCACGGAGAAATCTTTCGATTTCGGGGCTGGAACTGAAGGAAACTTGCTGCGTTCTTTAACTAGGGTTCTTGGCCTTTTTCTCCCTTCTTGCTCCTAATTTTCTAAGTTTTGATTAATGAATTTGACTTAGGTAAGTTCTAGTTATGTTTCTAGGCTTAAACTAATTAAAACCTCATGATTTAGGGTCTAAACGACGTATCTTAGGGGTTAAACGAAATAGGAAAAGACCAAAGGACCCCTGAATTAACTGTTGTCGGAGTGACCGACGGTTTGGACCTACGGGCCGTAGGTCAATCTACGGTCCGTAGATTGGGTCCGTAGTTCGAGTCTGCCCGACAGGTCTTCACTAAAACGGGCATAACTTTTTACTCGGAGGTCGGAATTTAGCAAACTCGGTGGCGTTGGAAAGGTAATTCAATTATCTATCTAACCATATGTCATGGGACACATAATTCATTTTGTGCTAAAAGTTATGACCATCTGAAGTTGACCCATCAGAATTTTCAGCTAACTGGCTGCTATCCTTCGATCTACGGTCAGACCTACGGACCGTGGATCGAACGACGGTCCGTGCTGGTCAACCGTAGTTCATGTTAGAGGCTGGGTAAGGAGGTCTTGATCCACGGACACAGACCACGGACCGTGGTCTGATCTACGGACCGTGGGTCTGTCCGTGAGTCGAGACTTAACCAATTTTTTGAGCTGGCTGGGGAGGGGTTGCAGTGGTGAACCACGGACCACTAGCACGGGCCGTGGTCTGACCTACGGTCCGTGGATGGTGACCGTAAGTTGCACCTGCAACTTCTCAAAATCTGCATTTTTGTCTATTTTGAATACGGGGTGTTACAGAAGTCATCTACCATGGTCAAGAAATAATGATAACTAGGGGTGGGCGTTCGGTTCTTCGGTTCGGTTTAATCAAATTTTGGTTCGGTTCTTCGGTATTCGATTTTAGAAAAGTGTGCACCATAGTTCATACCAAACTAGATCGGTTCAGTTCGGTTCGGTTTAGTTCGGTGTTTTTAAATCAGTTTTTCGATGTGAATAAAAATAAAGAGGGAATATGATAAAGTGTTAATAGTTTTTCAATATGATAAACTGTTTCTAGCATAGATGCCATGTTGCTGCTCCAGCGGCCAGCCAACAATATGCGACATAATCAACCATCAGGCAATCAACAAACATTCAAAACATGAGGCTGTCCATGTTTACAAAGACTTGTCCAGTGTCCACACATTTAAAAAAAAAAACACAACACCATCAAACAACACTATCTCTTTGGATACACGATTCAAATTTCAACCCATTCAAAACATAAGGCTGAGCACATCCAGTTAACATCCAACAAAATAACATCAATGCAACAAAATAAATTTGTATAGCTGCTCCAGTGGCAAGCCAACAAAATAACATCAATGCAACAAAATAAATCTGTGTAGCTACTCCAGTGGCCAGCCAGCAAAATAACATTAAAACAAATTTTGTGTAGTTGTTGCCTACTAACATCAAGGCTCCAGCCAAAAGGCAACAACTATTTTTTTACAAGCAGAGTAGCAATAGCAGACAACACTACCAAACTTTCCAAATGTTTCTAAAACATAAGTCACAAAAC